ACTGGCCCCAAAGCTGCAGAGAAACCCTGTCTCGGAGGGAAAAAAAAATGCTCGCAATCCAAAAACTCTTGACACTGAATTTGTTTGTTCTTCTTTGCAATGTGGATTAAATCTCTTTTCCTTACTTTTCTTTTTTGTTTTAAATTATTATTTATGTGTCTGTGTGTGGATACCTAAGGAGACCAGAAGAGGACATCAAATCCCCAAGAGCTGGAGTTGCAGACAAGTTGTGACCTGGGAATTCACCTCAGGTCCCCAGGAAGAGCAGTATGTACTCTTAATCCACTGAGCCATTGTGAGGGCTAAAATTATGTTTTAAGTTTAAATTACTGTGCTTCTAACATGTAAGCCCCACTTGCCCAAAGACGGATAACATCCTGGAATTCTGGGGCTGTTGTTCATAAAGGTGGCAAGTAGGGAGTCTTGTGGGTTTTGCCTCTATAAGCATTACACTAATGTAATTCGAGACTATAATTTGGAAATCCTGGGTATGGTCCTGGCTGGTATTTAATCAAGCTTCCTTCAGATTTGGCTCAACAATTGTGGTAGTTGTCTTATTCTTGCCCAGTGGAATTTACATCATCTCTCCAGCTCCTTTTCTTTGCTTTTCACCATTACTAGTGCCTTTTGCTGTTACACTGGACTGGGTGTCAGGCCTAGCTTACTGGGGCTTCCAGAGCTGCAGTTTTGTCCTAAAACTCTAGTCACAGCCCATCCATGTCTCTGTTTTCACCCTATCAGTCCATTACCCCCTCTTCGCTTAGACTTCAACTATAAATTTCAACCACTTTAATATCCCCAGTCATGGTCTGCATTTAGAGAACTCACGGAGACAAGTAGATAAAGCACTGCACGGGGAGAGAAGTGCTCCACTTGGTAGCCAACACAAACACAAATAACATTTCTTTTCTCCTTTGTCAGGTGGGAAGGCTCTTTTTATTCCAGCCTCTCCCCCGCCTCTTTCTCCTGTTCTGTCTACCCCAGTTTTAAAAACCTTATCTGTATTTACTCATTTTTTCACTTCACTTGTCCTTGTCATTGCAGTCACATTCCACACTGAACTGTTCCCATCTGCTTTATCAATAAATTCCTTATTCTATAAATCTGTCTGAGGTTTCACTTCATTTGGCCTGCCAGCTGTCCAGGATAGAATTGATCACTTCTTCCCCCTGAAGTACTACAGTTTCAGTGAAAGACCCCCGAAGAGGTACTTTCGTAGAAGGAGACCCGCACCCAGGAATCAGCGAGACCACGAGCTTGGATGCAAAATCGCAAGAGGCTTTATTGGAGATACGGGTACCCGGGCGACTTAGCTTCTGTGAGGCCAAGCGCCCCGAGCCAAGGGAAAGGGGTCCTTATATAGGGAAAAAGGCGCAAGCTAGGAGCAGGGATTCTATTGGATAATTCTAATGAGGCATTGTACAGAGCTATTCCCATTGGTCAATGTATATGAGGCGCTATACAGGGTTATTCAAATGAGGCAAAGTACAGAGTTATTCAAATGAGGTGAAACATAGAGTCTTTCAAATGAGGCGAAATACAGAATCATTTCGTTTCTCAGCGGGCGGGGCTCAGGGGCAGGGCTCCAGGCCGGCTCACTTGGTGTTCGCCCTTGTGCCGGCCCACCTGGTGCTGGCCCTCGTGCCGGCCCACCTGGTGCTCGTTCTCGGGCCGGGCGTGCGGGTGGCGGGGGAAGTGGAAGCCGCCGGGGGTGGGGATCGGGGAAGCCGCCGACAGGAGGAAGAGGAGACAAACTTGAGAAAGAAAGGGCTAAGGGGCAGGGGTCTTTCATCAGTAATGCCTACCCACTCTTCCAGAGCACCTCATACCTCTTATTATTCCTTTTTAAAAAATTTACATGTAAATTATGTGTTTATGTGCAAGTCTGGATGTGGGTCTGTGAACTTGTGAATACAGGTGCCTACAGAGCCCAGAAGGTATTGGATCTCCTGGAGATGGAGTTGCAGTTGTGAATCACCGGCTTTGGGTACTGAGAACCAAACTAATCCCCACAAGAACAGTACATATTTTTAAGTCCATAGCCATCTCTCCAGCTCCTTCTTTCTTCTCCAGAATGAATATTCCTTTTAGTCCACCTCCCCTTTATGTGACCCCCACCTCCCCCTTTTTTTCTGAGACAGGGTTTCTCTGTGTATTCCTGACTGCTCTGTAGACTGAAGAGAGCATGCAAAAAACACCTTGGCCTAAGTACCACCATTTAGACTTCAGACTCCATTTTACCCTTAGGGTGAAATGGGAAGCTGGGAAACTTCCAATAGCTGACCAACCTCCTCCTTAGCCAATAGAAACAGCCTGTTACATCCCTTAGTTCTCCAAAACATTATGGCTTTTCTTAATAACAGAAAGAACAAATGAATCTGATTGATTGGATTGAAAGGCTTACATTCTGTGCGGGTTGACAATGATGAAACACACAAGGAATGACCCTAATCTTTGCCTCCTGATTGGTGAAAATTGTAACTGTAACTTGGCAGCAAATGTTTGAGATTTTTGTATTTATAAACTGCACTTCTTCCCCTGCTTGGGGCTACCAGGAGAAGCAAGGCTCCCAAGTCCTTGTCCTGCAGCCCTGATCAACCAACGGCTCTGCTTATATTGTAAGTTATTAAAGACTTTGGGACCCATAAATTGTCTCTCTCCTTCACAGCCCACAACAGACAAGGTGAAACAGACCAGGCTTGCTTTGAACTCAGAGATCTGCCAGCTTCTGCCTCCTGAGTGCTGGGATTAAAGGTGTGTGCCACCACTGCCTGGTAATCTGCCCATTCTTAAAAGTGGGTTTCCTTAGAAGTCTGGTTTTTTTTTTTTTTTTACTTTTCGAATTCCCTATATACTTATAAGCTCATTTACATACCAGCTGAGGTCCCCCCTTCAACAGACATGCATGTTCACATATTCAACACGCTTTCTGTCTCCAAAGCTGTTTCTGTTTGTTGTCTTTTCTGCAAAGGGCTTTCATTATGTACCCACCTTCCCAAGTCAGACTTCTAGCATCACTCTACCTTTTACTCTTCATATGCAAATACTAAGCCTGGGCCATTCTGTTGCAATAGCTTTCAAATAATTTCAACTGACATCCTGGTCCTTATTATGACTTTTTGGTGTGGGCTTTGGAGTCAGCATCTACATAGACTAGAGTGATCTTATAATTATGGCTATCCTATCTACCTTTCCAGTGCTAGAATTACTGGCATGTATGACACCAGACTTAATGTCATCTTTTTAAAGTGTCCTCAGTTCCCAAATGCAGTCTTTTCACAGAGCCAGAGAGGTTCTTTAAACATGGAAATTTTGGGCAGGTGAGATGGCTTAGTCAGAAAGGCACAAGCAGCCAAGCCTAAAGACCAGAGTTCGATTCCCAGGACCCACAAGATGCAAAAGAAAGTCAACTCCTGCCAGTCATCCACAGGCACTGTGGCACACTCACAAGTGTACATAAAAAATAAATGAATGAAATTTAGAAGATTTTTATGTAAAATCTTGTCAGGTATGGTGCACAGCCACAATCCTAGTGTTGCCCGAGGTTCAAAGCCAGGCTGGTTAACATAGCAGTTCCAGAATAGTCATACCTACACAGTAAACGCCTCAAAATAAATAAATAAATAAAAGAAACAAAAATTTTATTATGTTTGTCTTACACTTGTCATCTTTTAGACATTTTTGAGACAATGACTGTATTTGTTAAATATCTTCCAGAAGTTCTGGAGATGAAACTCAAGGTTCTGCTCAGTCTAGTAAAAGTGGGCTACCACTTAAACTATGCTACCAGCTGGCCTTAACTCTGGGCAAACCCCTTGCCTCTGCCTCCCAAGCGCAAGTGCTAAGGTTACAGGTATGACCACCATGCTCAGGTTTTGTTGTTTTGTTTTCTTTAGTTCTGGTTAATTTTAAACTAACAATTCTCTTTCTTTGACTTCTCAAATGTTGGGATGACAGAGTGATGCCATGGTGTCCTGGCTTAGAAATTCCTTGTTACTTTTAGGGTCAAGCTCAGTGCCTCAGCATTTATTTCTTAGTTTCAATACATTCGCTCTCTTCTGAATTTTGAATTACTGGAAAACAAACCTGCAGTCTCAGCTCATCTGTCAGTTGAAAGATGTATCTTCCTCCTTTCTTTATCTAAACAACATTGCACTCAACTTTACAAGTTAATTGAAACTTAACTTCTAGGAAGGTGATACGCCTTGAGTTACAATTCCCAGAAATCTAGGTACATACAGTATTTACCAAAGTGTTGTCTTTTAGTTTCCCAGCTTACAGCTCCGCAGGCCTCTAAATCCATAAGGACAGAACTAGGCTTTCTTAAACTTTACATGGGAGCCTAGGATGAGAGGATGACACACAAAATGGTTCAACTGATATTTGTTGAATAACTATTTTATTTGGAATGACAGTGGCCAGGGTGTATATCAGAAACGTGAGGGTTTAACAGGGACAGAGGAATATAGGGCACTACAGGGTATGTAGGTTCTTCCATAAACTTTTTTTTTTTTTTTTTTAAGATACTGTCTCAAGTAGTCAGGTTATCTCAAACTCACTACCTAGCAGACTGGCCCTGAACTCTTCTGTCCCCCCAAGCTGGGAAAACAGGCTGCTCTTCCATAAACTGGCCCAGAAAGGCGGGTACTCGGCGTGCTGGAGGCCGCCTGGATCTTCCTAGAGCGGGATCTGTTTCTGACCCACTCGATGTTTGCGAAACCAGCCGCGGACACGAAACTCCGCGGGCTTGCAGAGAGCCGCCCAGTTGGTTCCGCTCCTCCTCCGCGGCCCCGCCCCTCCCCGGA